AGGTGTTACATGAAAACAATGGACCGTGGATCACCACATCAAAAACTAATGATGTATTGTATGGTGACTAACATAACATAATAAAATTAAAAAAAAAAAAAAAAGAACTAAAGGGAGAAATAAACAGCAATACAATAGCAGTTGGGGACCTTAAAATCCACTTCCAACAATGGAAAAATCATCTAGACAAGAATCTATTAGGAATAAATCTAACCAAGGAGGTGAAAAGTTATCTACACTGAAAACTGTAAGACACTGATGAAAGAAGTTGAAAAAGACATGAATAAATGCAAATATATCCTATATTAAGATTGGAAGAACTAGTATTGCTAAAATGTCCATACCACTCAAAGCCATTTATAGATGCAATGCACTCACTATGAAGATTCCAATGGCTTTTTTATAGAAATAGAAAAAACAGTCCTAAAATTCATTTGGCCCCAAAAGACCCAAACAGCCAAAGCAATTCTGAGAAAGAACAAAACTGGAGGCATCAAACTTCCTGATTCCAAACTATAATACAAAGCTAAGGTAATCCAAACAGTATGGCATTGGCATTAAAAAAAGAAACAGACCAATGGGTCAGAATTATGCGCAAAGAAATAAACTCAGGCATATATGGTCAACTAATATTTGGATAAGGGATTCAAGAATAGTCGATGGAAAAAGGTAGTCTCTTCAATTAATGGCATTGGAAAAATTAGATATTCATATGCAAAATAATACAACTAGACTCCTGTCTTACACCACTCACAAAAATTAACTTGAAATGGATTAAAGACTTAAACATAAGACTGGAATCATAAAGCTCCTAGAAGAAAGCATAGTGACAAAACTCTTTGACATCAGCCTGAGAAATGATTTCTTGGATGTGACTAAAAGCACAAGCAAAAATAGTAAAAATAAACAAGTGGGAGTACACGAAACTAAAAAGCTTCTGCCTAGCAAAAGAAATCATTGACAAAATAAAAAGACAGCCTATGGAAGGGGAGAAAATATTTGCATACCACATATCTGATAAAGGATTAATATCCAAAATATATAAGGAACTTAATAGCAAAAAATCAAATAATATAATTTAAAAATTGGCAAAGGACCAGAATAGACATTTTTCCAAAGAAGACATACAGATGGCAATAAGGTACAGGAAAAGATGCTCAACATCACTAATCATTCGGAAATGCAAATAAAAACTACAATGAGATATCACCTCACACTTGTTAGAATGGCTATTCTCAAAAAGACGAGATGGTAAGTGTTGTTGAAAATGTGGAGAAAAGGGAACCCTTGTGCACAGTTAGTGGAAATGCAAATTGACATAGCTCCTATGGAAAACAGTATGGAGATCTCAAAAAATTAAAAATAGAATTACCACATGACCCAGTGATTCCCCTTCTGGGCATATATTTGAAAATACTGAAATCATTATCTTGAAAAGATTTCTGCACTGCCATGTTCACTGCAGCATTATTCACAATAATTTAAATATGAAAGCAGTAAGTGTCCATTGACAAGTGAATGGATAAAGAAAATGCGGTGTGTGTATGTATGTGTGTGTGTGTGTGTGTGTATACACACACATATATACATACACAATGGAATGTCATTCAGCCATAAAGAAGGAAATTCTGCCATTTGCAACGGCAAGGATGGACCTTGAGGGCATTAAGCTACGTGAAAGAGTCAGGCAGAGAAAACAAATACTGTATGGTCTCACTTATATGTGCGACTTGATAAAATCAAAACTCATAGCAACCAAGAAAAGACTGGTGCTTGCCAGAGAGAGGAGAGCGGTGGGGGAAATGGTTGAAGGTGCTCAGAGGTACAAACTTCCAGTCACAAGATAAGTAAGCTCTGGGGCTGTAATGCACAGCATGGTTACTACAGCTAACAATACAGTATTATATATTTGAAAGCTGCTCAGAGAATCGATCTTAAAAGTTCTCATCACAAGAAAAAAAATTGTAACTATGTGAGATGATGAATGTTTAAACTTATTGTGGTGCTCATTTTGAAGTTTATATACTTATATATATAATATATATGTATAATCATTATGTTGTACACCTTAAACTTACACAATGTTGTATGTCAATTATATCTCAAGAAAACTAAGAGAGAAAATAAAGAGTAACTGAAAACCAAATGCCAATGTAAAAAAAACAAACAAACTGGAAGCCTCAAGGAGAGGATGCTATAAAATGCAGGCAGCTGGTCCATATGCAACAGTTGTTACTTACCATATCATTTCTAGGGAAAAAAATAGCAGGCTAAGTAATAGTATATAACACATTCTTTGTATCTGCCTTGCTTAAAATAGAAACATTTCCTTGCTTACTTAAATTTATTGCTCATGCAAGGCATGTAAACTATGAAATAAGAAACTAATCAAATCTTCCCTAAAACACTGGCTTTCTATGTTATGTGCTACTCCCATTGTTATTTTAAAACTCCAAGACCATCTTTACTAAAAACAAACAAATAAAAAAACTAAAAAAAAAAAAAGCCAAACAGACTTGAAAATGTCCTCTTAGAGATTTATTAACTTTCATTACAATAACACACTGCATCACTGGTAAGGATGGTAAAATTTGTCAGTGTAGGAGTATTCTTATTTCCACAGAATCTGAGAAGTTTCCTCCTACACTTCCACTGGCTCTCCTCAACTAGAATTCAATTTCAAATGCTTATTATAGTAGTTTGACTTTTTCTCAACTAATTAAGATACATAGTGGAGGCAATAAATAATCAGTGAGTGGAGAACAGCAGAAGCTCAAGAGCTAAGTCCCTTACCTGTCACTTCACAAGTCAGTATAACACTCTGTTTCTCTTTTACCTTCACATCTTCCAATGTATTTTCACCCACAATGTGAGGTGGCACTAAAGAAAAAAAAAATTAAATGAACAAAAAAACAGAAAAAGTAAGCAACAATTCTCACAGCAGGGTTGTTATTCCAAAGACATCTATGTTTACATTTTTATTAAGCTATATAACCTTTAAAACAAACCCCCCAAAATATCATTATTTGTTTACTAGAATAATGTCATAAAACTATTTTGATCAATTCTAATTTTAAGATATAAAGTTATATGTCATGGATTCAGTTATAATGAATTTTATTATAACAGAAGTTATAAAGTCTGGATAAAAATGTCAACAAGTTAATAAGAACATTTATTAGACATTTACTTCTCCCACTGTAACTCTGATAAGCATTCACGTTAAACAAGCTATCAGAGTCTAAACAATTGTGAACTGAAAAGACACAGCATTTCAGCCATTTTAATCCAACTGATTACATCCAAATTATTCTAACATTGAATTATTGACACGAGTGTCAGTCCAGGGGCCAAAGAATACATAAATGTGAGATCAAGGTGTAGATAAATTTTAACTACATCCAGAATGTATTAAGTCAATTAGATTATTTTTCGAGATATTGAAAATTATAAAAATACCTAATACTGAAAGTCCAAAGATTTTTCTTTCTTCACCAGCTGCATTCCTTACAATGCAAATATACTGGCCACCATCTTCTGTTCTGGTCTGCATCAACCGCAGAGTCCTGCCTCCTGGGGAAGCAAACCACCACATGACTCAAAAAGAAATCTGTAACTTTGCAAGTTGGCCAAGTAATGCTCAATTTAGGTAAAATTCAGTCAATATGCTTCAAAGGCCTTTAACATTCATTAATATCAAGCTTTTTAAAAATCATATGCCTTAAGCCTATATGAAGCAGAAAAGATAATTCAGAAGAATTTTATGGTCCAATGGCTAAAAAAATAAATACAATGCTAGGTGACAACAAGCAAGAAATGGAGTTTCAGAGACGTGATGTTTGAACATAATCTTAAAGGCAAGCGTATATAAAGATTTATTTATTTATGTGAAAGAGAGAGAGAAAGCACATGAGCAGAAGGGGCAGGGAGAGAGAGAGAGAATCTCAAGCAGACTTTGCACTCAGCACGGAGCCTGACATGAGGCTCGATCTCATGACCCTGAGATCACGACCTGGGCCAAAACTAAGAGTCCGATGCTTAACCGACTACTCCACCCAGGTGCCCCAAGGTAAGTTTATTTTAATACAGAGAAGGGCTGAGAGACACCATTATAGGTAGAATATGAATGAGGATATAGAGTAGAAAGTAGATGTGAGTTGGTACTTAAAGGAGAGCAGGTGGAACAAATAGAGAGAGATGAGGCTAGCTGGAGTAATGGCTGGCAGATGGCCAGATTCTCTGGGCCCTTGAATGCTATGCTAAGGAACCTGGACTTTATTGTGTTCACTTAAACCTATGGAAGTGTGTAAACAAACAAACAAACAAAACGGAGATTTGTGCTTTAGAAAGACAACTGTGACAGGATGTTCAGGAAAAGATTCCCAGTTTGCCACTGGGCTTGTGAAATGGGAATGTGAGAAAGAGGTCTACACCAGCAACCCAGATTGGGATGACATCAGTAGAGAAGGAATGGGAGAAACCCTGAAGACTGACTACTGGTTTTCAATGGAGTATCATGGAATCCTAGAATTATTTCAATCAAAGTCTATGGGGGGGGGTCCCTTGATTCGCTCGTGCAACTCTGCCTTTTTACTTTTTATATTTTGAACTTCTATGTAATAAAGGTTACATTTCTTCATCCAAGAAATGCTTGTAGACTGAGAGGGCAACTCTGATATGCAAAAGGGTAGAATTTGGAAAGAGACTCCATTGAAGGACAAAGGAAGAGGAGCCAGCAACTGGGACTGAAACAAAGCCTGCAGAGATGAACAGTCACTGAGAGAGGAGACTCCTTGAAACCATTTGAGAAGTAAATTTTCAGAAAAAAAAAAAAAGGAAATCATGTCTTAGATTTCATAATACTTTTCTACCTGGTGTATTTTTGCTTGGTACCCTGAATTTGGAACTAAAACACTTGAAATGGTTAAACATGAAATTTTCATGTGAATATTCACCTGGCTCTGGATTCGTCAGGAGTGTCCATCTGTTTTCTGTTTTTATAAACACAACAAGCTGTCACTGAGCTTTTCCTAGAAGCAACCTCCCCATCTTCAACTGGTTGAAAGGTAAACTTAGTAGTAACTTATTTACATAAACAAGGCTGATTACCAAAATTCAATCTTCTTTCCCCCCAACTGAATTTAAATAAGGGAAGTTAAATACAGAAATTATCTAAACATGTCAAAAAACTCGTGTTGATCAGGCAAGGATTCAAGCACTCACTGCTACCTCAGGTTAGTGAGACCACACTATGATTCCAGTTGAGAGATATTAGATCAGTACAGCTGTTATGAGTTACTGCTAGCCCTGTAAACCTCAGGCTCCTGCCTCATGATCTTTCTCGTGTTTCCTGGTCCTCTCACTTAATCCAGTGAAAAACAAAAACAAAAAGAAAGAAGACATCCAAATGGCCAACAGACACATGAAAAAGTGCTCAACATCACTCGGCATCAGGGAAATACAAATCAAA